ACCTTATGGGAAATTTTACCTCGACTTGAGACCAACTCGAGTTTCAACCAGTGTCACGGAACGGATTAAGTTCGTATCCCGAGGTACCACTGTATATAAAAACATTTATTTAAAATTCAGGCAATTAATGTTGTAAAGGAACATCTAAAAGCAAATACAGTGTTCTAATCAGATCAAAGATGATGCTGGCCTACTACAAATTGCTCATTTACTGTCCTAGGGTCTCCACAAAAGTAGACATAGAACAGAGAGTTCCAAATTAGAATTGTAGATCACAAGAAATTTGAAAGAAAGGAAATATCTTCATATACAACTTAAGGGTATGCATAAAAGATTAAAGTTCCCAGAATTCTCAGGATTGTATAGAGAAACAAATTGACAGTCAAGAACAAGATATTGCCTAAACATTTGCCTATTTATACAAAGAGTAAAAGACCTGTACACAACAGAATTGCACCATAGCAAATCAAAGAAAACTCATTTTTGGAGCCTGGAACATCCGTACCTTGCTGGATAGAGATAAGGTATCAAGGCCTGAAAGATGAACAGCACTCAGCAGCCAAACTTCACCATTATAGCATTGACATTGCTGCACTCAGTGAGACCAGGCTGGCAGACAAGGGCTCATTACAGGAAGCAGCAAGTGGATCTACTTTCTTTTGGAAAGGGAAAGCACAGACTGACAACAGGACTCATGGAGTAGGTTTTGCAATCAAAACTGCTCTGCTGAAGAATAACTCTGTTCTACCCACTGCAATAAATGAACACATTATGAAGTTTTTCTTTCCTCTTAGCGAGTCCTTATATCACCATTGTCAGCGCCTACACACCAACTCTCATGAGTCCAGACAAAGAAAAGAGAGGTTTCTACGAGGACCTGGACCAGATTATTTGAACAACCCCCACCAGCAACAAACTCATCATTCTGGGTGACTTCACACTAGGGTGGGGACAGACACACAGCAACAACTGGGATAGAGTTCTCAGGAGACATGAGATGATAAAACTAAACAGCAATGGCCTGCTGCTTCTGAGCAAATGTGCCGAGCACAACCTATGCATCACTAACACAATGTTCACACTTGCAAACAAGTACCAAACTACCTGGATCCATCCGAGGTTCAAACACTGCCACCTCCTTGACTACTGAAAGACATCACCATCACCCAAGCCATGTGAGGTGCTGCGTGCTGGACAGATCACAGGATGGTCCATTCGGTTCTCAACCTGCACATACCCCTTTATATTGTAAGCAACCAAAGACTGTCAGAAAGTCATTCAACATTGGCAGAGTGCAAGACCCAGACCAAGTCCAACATTTCCAAGATGTACTTAATGAAAAACTCTCTGGAAATTTACTGCTTGTAGAAACCTGTTCTGAAAAGTGGATGCAGTTTAAAGATGTCATCAT